TTTATTACTTAGTCTTATATTATAACTATAACTTATATCTTCTTTTAGCTTAGTTTTATTTTTATCTTTTAGGCTAGTTATTATACCTCTTTTATAGCTAATACTACCTTAGCTATACTTAATATCTACTATATCCTCCTTCTTAACCTATTAGGTCTTATTTTTAATACTAATTTCTTTATAATATCCCCTAGAATCTTATCTAGCTTATTAAATATATAATTAATATTTTATATATTCTCTAGATTATTAATTTTTATTTTTATTATATTACTAAGCTAAGTTATTATTATTACTTTAGTAAGATTAAGATTAACCTTTCTCTAGACTTTTTTATCTTATATTATTAAGGCTAAGAAGGTCTTAATATATAAGAGCTATAAACTATAGTTAGAGCTAACTAGGTAAAGTAATAGAGAGTTATATTCTTCTTCTAGTTAAGGTAAATACTATAAGAGGTTAATTATATTAGTCTTTTATTTAAGCTATATTTAAATAAAAATATCTTTTAATATTATTAATTTAGTTTTAAGTTAGTCTAGAACTTTTAATATTTTATTAATATATCTTAATTATCTCTTAAAGATATCTTATAAAAGGTAATATAAGTTAAAATTTCTTATTATAATATAAAGAGACTTTAAGTCTAAGGAAGGTAAGAGGAGTAATAGGTCTATCTTAGGAGGAGAGTAAAGATTAATAAACCTTATTAGTATATTTATAAAGGTAATATAATAACTATTTAAGTATAAGGTAATATTATATTCCTCTAGGTCTATCTTTTTATATATATAAGTTATTATCTTTCCTTAGTTCTAAAGATATTAGTATAATACTAATATAAGGTAAAAGGGAAGATAAAGTAATAATATCTTTTATATTATAATAATATCTAAAGACTTAAAGTAATAAAATATAAATATAATATTTAATAAGTTTTTATAAATATTTTATAATAATATCTTTATTAGTAAAAGGGTTTAAAGAAAGTAAGATTTATAATAGACTTACCTTAATATTAAATATAAGCTAGGCTAACTATAACTATAAAAGGTAGTTCCTTACCACTATTACTCTAAGGGTATTAAACTACTAAGAAAATACTTATCTAGTTAGGCTATTTATAAGATACCTTAAGGAGTAAGACTAGAGTTATAGCTTATAGTTAGTATTAATATATTTATAAGGTAATAATATTTTAGGTAATTATAAAGGTTAATTTTATTATAAAGAAACTATAAAGGTAAAAAGGTAGTATTAATATTCTTTATTTACTTAATACTAATACTTAGCTTATATAATATAGGCCTAGGCCTAGGCTAGGTAGTTCTTCTTATAATTTATATACTTCTCTTTAGTTAAATTAGCTATTACTAGGTAGATTACTTTATTTAGGTATATTATACTAATATATTAACTATATTTTAGTAGCTTTTTATAGAACTTTATAATATATCTTATCTTATAGTACTTAAAGTACTATTAGGGCTAAACTATCTTTATAAAGGGTTTATAAAGGAAAACCTATATCTTATAAAAAACTCCTTAATTATATAGGTAATTTATTACTATTATATTATATACCTTAATTAGTAATATACCTTTTATCTTAAT